TTTTATTTTACCACCATAAAAAAACACAAGCTTATGTGGTGTCTTTTCCACTCAAAACAGGAAACTTACAGTTTTTAACATTGTGATTAGAAGAAAAACAACTGGAACAGAGATTATGTTTTTTCACTATTTCTAATATTTCATAACTATTTTAAACCTTTTTCTGATCTTTCTTTTGCAAACTCTCTTTTTTAATGTGCCTTTTTCATCAAAGTTTCATGTTAGCATCTAATTTTTTACTCAACATGAATGCAAAAGTAATAGATGCGAATCCATCTACTCTTTGTTCTGATGCTCGAACATATTCATTCATGTTATCTATTAAATTTAATATGGCAGATGATAACTTATTTTATATATTCACTGCATTAAGGAGTCTCTTTAAATGCATATATATTTGTTCCCTTTTATTTGAATAACATTCCTTTGACAGTGACCAGACAAGATCATAATTTGCATCCGTAATAGCAGTAGATTTTATGATTAAAAAAGCAGCTCTTTTTAAAGAAGATTTTAAATATTGAAGTTTTACAGAGCTTCATAAGTTTAGATTTTGATGAATACTGGCTTTAAAATTATCTCAAAAGGATAACCAATCATGTAAATTGCCATTGCAAATAGGTAAGGATATGTTTGGTAATTTTATCTTTCAAGATTGATCTGCAGTAAAAACCACATTTTTTTCAATCAGATGTTTTTCTTTTTAACTCAAATTTCATATTATCTATTCCATCTATAAAAATTTTTTTATTCACCAGCATAAGTATCAATTTCTTTATCATCACAAATATTATAAACTAGGTGTACCCGCCCGGCGTTGCCCGTGCATTTAGAAAATGCAGATAAGTGAATAGCGCAGGAATAGTAGTGTAGGACATGTAGACTGTCTCTCTCTCTTCCCCCCCCCCACAAGCTACAAAAAAGAAATGAATTGTAATTAATCGATTTAATGTATCGTCAAAACAGCAAACTAACGCTAGAATAAAGAAATCAATTGTTACAATCGAACGTTATTTGAAAACAAATAATAATATCAGTGAGTCAAAAAAACCGTGATTAATTAATTATAAATAATTTTTTTTTAAATTTTTTCTAATTCAAAAATCGAAAATCGGGCTTCGAGGTCTGGTGGCCAGCCCCTTTGTGCTTCCGTATAAAAAATTCCAGGTCCCTGCGTGCGATAGATTTGGCTGGAGAGCTCGGTCAGACAGACAGACAGACACATTACACTTGCTTTTATTATTATAGAAGATGGTTTCGAAAATAACTTTAGAACATGATTCTAAATTTTTAAGCTTTTTTAAAATTAAATCAAAGTCAGTGACTTCAGAACTATTATGATATGCTAACTTCTGTTTTAGCTTAGTCATTTGTTTAGTTTAGCTTAGTCATTTGTTTAGTTTAGCTTAGTCATTTGGCTCTTTTTCACCATAAAATAAAACACTCATTGCCAGATCGAAAGTGAAGAGTACACTTTACTCCAGTTCTTTTTCTCTGCCTAGACAGAGCAAAGATTTCTTCTCAAAAGGTTCCCTTCACACCTGAAGGGGACGGCAACTGTCTTTTATTAATGACACAATATCTCAAGCTCACAGTTATAAAATTCATGGCTTTCAATGAACTGATTCACAGACCTTTCTTGTATGCCGCCAGCAGAAACTCTCGTTCAAATCACAAGTCACATAGCGATATTGCAGAATGAAGGTGGGAGCATGCTTTATTAAAGTTATGATTAAGTTTTATATGTTTTTTATTCATATTTAAGAATAATTGATGAAATATTAATAGTTTTCACCAAATGAAATATTAGTAATCTTTAGGATACTGAAACACATATACTTTATCATGGCAGGTTCTCAAAAAAAGAAAGATGCTTTATATATATATATAAACAGAGGTTACTGCAGAAAACATATATATATATATATATATATATCTGTCTGTCTTCTTTTTATAAAAAAAAAATTATAAACATTTTTTTTACGATTTTTACAATACTTAAAGGAAAAAATTCTATAAAATTCCTAAAGATTCAAATCCACCCAAACATTTCCCCATCGTACTTGCAAAGGACAACTTTAATGTGTTAATAAAAGAAATTCAAATAATAACAAAAATGTTTCCTCAAGACTGCATAAAATTGCAGTGTTCCAAAAAAGAACATTGGCATGTAACGATATACAAAATCAGTGATATCACACATATATTTTTCTTTATTAGATTTTAAATGCGTCACTTATCTCATATAACGTATCTCGTAAACTTGCCCTTTTTTAGAGGCATTAATGTTATGTCATTTATTTCTGTAGAAAGAAAGAGGCAGAGGACTGGAAGGGGATATGACCTCTCTCACCAAGAGGTGGTGGTAATTGGTTTCAGCTATATTTCCTTGTTTTGAGCTCCAATATCTGTTTTTTTTTTTTTTTTTTTTTTCTTTTTCTTTTTTAGAAATGACCACATTTGCTTCATTGTTTATATTAGGTCTTCCGAAAAGTTTGAAAAATGAAAATTTGCCACTTAGATCAAAAGTTGTTTCTGAACAATTATCTTTTATTGACAATCCAGAGAAACACAAAGTATTTTTCAAAAACTTTTTTTTCATATTACAGTCTGCTGACAGAATTTTCTAACAAAGGCTTTATGGCAATTAGCACAGTACGAGGAAACGGAATGCAAACAGCAGAATAGCAAAAGAGATGTCGAAATTTCAACATGGAGAATTTGATTACCCGATGCGATGGAGAAGTTTATAAGTGCCGTTGGGACAACAATTCTGTTGTAACTATTGCATCAAATTTTATCACTCATGAACCATTAAGAAGAGCAAAATGATGTGTCCGAGCTTAAAAAAAAAAGAAGTTTGATGTTCTTCAAATTTACATTATAAAATTACAAAATGAAGGAGTGGGTGGAGTAGACCTGTTGGACCGACTTCTTGGAGTTATTGGCCAAACTTTAGCAGCAAACAAATGGTATTGGAACCTATTTACACACTGAATATGGTTGTGGCTCCTAGGTGTATCTTACTCACTGAGTTACACAAAGACACTACATTAGAAATGACTTGTGTGAATTTTAGAAGAGAAAATAATTTGAATTTGCTTAGCGAAAGCTAAAATTCACATTATACCTGGACCCCCGTGCCCACCAATCGACATCTGTAAGAAAATCAGATGCACATTATATAGTTACATCATCACAAGGGCGCGGTGTAGTGTGGCAAAAAAAAAAAAAAAAAAAAATTCCATGTACCTTGCTTCCCACAGTATCATAGACATTGAGAAACTGCTAAAAAGGATTACAAAAAATTAAGTGTTTTAGAATGTTTTGCATTTTTTATGCTACTGATTGAAATCTCATGTGCATTCTAAAGGATAAAATATTTTATTGGTAAAGTATTTTACATTTTAAAAATTGTATTTATTCATATTACATATATTGTTATTCAAGCTTATGTAAGTAAATTTTTTATTGTTTCTTTGCTCTGTTTGCATTGCATTTCTTTTAAAATAGTATGCTAATTAAAAGTTATGTAATATTTTAATGAGTTTTACTTAAATATTAGTAATTTCATATCAAATTGTTCAGTAAACCATTATTATAGCATGCAGTTTTAAAAGATTCATCACACAATGCTTTGTTTTCATAAAGCAGAAAAAAAAGAGAAAAGACAAGCGTTACATGCCAATGTTCCAAAAATGGATCATCCAAGAAATCATAGAAAGAATTTTTCTTAAGGCAATTTTTAGTCCAAAGGGGCTTTGTCCCTGAAGCACTATTGTTTTCGTTTTGCGATTTTGCATTGAATCACTATAAATGTCCGTTTCACTTTTCAAACTGTTGCCACCAAATGTTAGAGTTCCGCATTATATTTGAAGAAATTAAGTAATAAAAAATTTGCATGAATGTATGTATATTTCTTGCATTGTGACAAAATAACAGTACATAGAGCCATCAAATTTTGAATGACGTAATCCTCCTATGAATATGGGCATGTGGAAGACCAAATTTGGAATTTGGTTTATTATCAATTTCATATTTTGTAAAACTTTAATGAATTTTTGATTAACAAACTCAGGGATTTCAAAGCGAGCAATGGCAACACTCTACCGGGGGGGGGGAACCCTCCAGCGCGTGGAACTGTGTATCGGAAATTCTAAAGATATGCTCATTTAAAAATTATTTTGTGGCATTGCTATTGAACTGAATTTTATGGTTTAAGTGCAAAGAACATGATATTTAATAAATAAAGGTAACACACAAAACGTTAAAAAAATGCCCCTTTGGACGTAATTTAAAATCTGGAACCTTTCAGATTTTTTTTTTTTTTTTTTTTTGTTTTTGTTTTGTAGTCTTTATGGGTGTATTCTAATGTGAATATGATGACTTAGTTGTGACTTTTATTTCTGGATCATAGTGCGGCATGTAAAAGGTTAATGTTTGTTTCTTGCAAGTACTGAAATATGCTAAATCAACATTCTCACCAAGGCTGCTGCAGAAGACAAGTACCCTTTTTTTATGGAGGATTTTTTTTAAATCTTATTTATATCACACATTGGGAGACTGTGGAAATGTCCATGTAGTTCACATGCTGTGCTGTCAAAGATCATGGATTCTATAAATATGTATAAGCAAACTTTATGTAACAACTTCTATAATTAAAGGTGCTTGCCGTGAAAAGTTATATTGACCATACTATATCATTTTAAATAATTCATGAACTGTAAAAAAGAGCAATAGTTGATTACAGGTAATATTGAAGTGCTAAAAAAGTTTGATTTTAAATTTGACAGCTAAGTTGTTAAATCATAAGATGATTAAATTTTAAAATACTTTTAGATAAAGGGGGCAAGGTATCCAAAATTGAAGATGGACCAAAATTAGTTGGTTGTAGCTATATATTAATTCTTTGTTGAAGGACTTAATAATATATATTCCAGACATGGTAAATGAGGATATCTTTAATTGTTGATCTCATTAAAATAATTTAACTATTTTAGGTACTCAATTTAATGAATAACAAGTTAAGCTCATTGCCAGAAGATATAGGTCATCTTACTCATTTGCAGGTTTGTTTGATTTTTTATAACTTTTGTCAAATATTTTATTTATGATTTTTGCATCATTTAATACAATTTTGTAAAGCTATTTGCGATACCTAACCATCATTTGAACTTTAAAAGTATATGATTTTTTTTTCTTTGTGTATGTTTCAAGTAGAGTAAAAAAATATCATCTTGAGGTAAAAATTGCTCAATGTACATTTAATATATTTTCATTAAAAAATCGTTAAACAGAGTTAACTATAGTTTGGATATAGGATATATTTATATTCAGTCTGCATATTGCTTTTTATGTTGGAATCGTAGTTTTACAAAAAGTTGGTTGGCCCTTTGTGTTATTTTTTGTTGTAGTTGATAGAATTATGCAGGATAAAGTGAACAGCATGTTTTCCTGTATACATAAATAGTTCTTAAATATGCTGTACAAAATTATCAATTTATGTAAGCTCCTATTCATGTTCTTTTCAAGGTGTAATTTGTTTCTTCTTTCTCTTTGGAAGAGAGGAAAATATTTCTTATAAGTATTTTGACAGTTAATCCTTTAAGTTTGCGGTATTGTTGTTTCTGTTATCGATCAACTTGGAAAATTGAAGCTAATTAGATGTTCTACATTTGGCTCTGAAATCTTTTTATTGCAATTGTACTAAATTTTTAATTTTTGTGTTGCAGTTTAATACTGCCTGTCATTTAGTTTCAAATATTCAGTTATTCATGCAGTTTCTTATTTTATGGTGTAGAAGAGAATTATTTTCTTAGTATGCTAAATTATATACTGCTGAATCTATTGTTATATTGAGAAAACTGAAGCTATATACTGCCTGTGATGTCTCCTACTGTTTATTTCCAATGTAAATCTAGTAATTATAAGAAAACTTTGTATCATATAAGAGCTGTGCTTATGCATTAAATATTTTAATAAGTCATTGAAAATAAAATGCTCATAAAATATTTATATTTACAATTTTTTCTCACTTTAGGGTTGGTTTCCTTACCATTGGATTTTAAATAATTTTTATTTATAGGATCTTAATGTAGAAAATAATAGGCTGAAAAAGTTGCCAGTATCTTTCAGAAATTTACAGAACTTGCACTACTTGAATTTAAAAGGTAATTATTTTTAGAAGATACTAATTCAATTTCTTATTTTTGTAAAGAAAAATAAATATTTATATATTAGTATTGAATACAGAATTGCATGTGCTGCATTAAGTCAATCAATGCAAGTTATTAATTTTTTCAAATTGCAAGTAGTTTTCAACCTGCAAAATGTAAGAACAATACTTTTATGGGCTTTTGTCTAAAATTGGTTTGTCTGAACTTATGCAAAATTGAGTAAATAAAAAGGTGTATGTTTTTAATAAACTGAGTACAGTACAAAGTCCGTAATGCGGACATGTCAGGACTTCGGCAACTCTGGAATAGGGGTTTTTCTAGATTATAGATCATCAATTTAAATCTGGTAAGATGGCATGCAGAAATTATACAATTAAAAATATGAAACCGTAATTTATGAAATAAAGAGCAATTATGATCTGAAGGGTATCAAAATTTACAAAAAAAAAAAAAAAAAAAAGTTTAATATTTATTTGTTTACTTTAGTAAACATTTCTTTCAATGTAAGTTGTTTAAATTGCTTCGTTTTTTGTGCTAATACTTTCTCTTTAATTCTATAAACAGGCTTAATTTCTTGTTCATTTACATAGCTCCACTGTTCAAGTCCTGTAATTGCTGTGTCGAGAATACTGACTAACTTGTCAATCAAAATTTTTTCGTTTTCAATAATATTCTCTGTTACTTTCTTCACTATTGTAAGCGCACATGGGTAAACGCTTTACTAGCTTTACGCGCATGCATAAACACATTACGTGCATGAGTAAGTTTGCTGCTTTGAGGTCCGCATTATAGATAATTCCGGATAATGGATGTCCGCATTAAGGACTTTGTACTGTATGTTTTAAACATGAGCATTAGTACAGTACCTGCCACTTATCAAAAATGACATCCATTTCAAACATGTTAGACTTTATTAAGCGGTTAAGTGAGTTTAATAGATGGTGGCTTCTGTAATTGTATATTAGTTTATAATGTTTCAAGGAAAGCAATAATTAATAATTATTTCATTCATTGAATCATAAAATTATAATTAAAAATTCATGCTAAATGAAAATGCTATTTATGCAATTTCAAAATTGATTTTTTTCTAATTTTTTATAAAAATATGTTTTATTATTACCTTCTTGATGAAATTTTATTTCATATAAACAACTATTCTATCTGTATTTATATATTGTTGAACAAGAATATTTCATTTTTATTCTCTGTGTGTAAAATTACTTGTAGCTTTTCTTGCTCAACACTTTTCAGTTCAAAAGCTTTTCTTAGAAATTAGAATGCTTTTACAGATTCGAATGATGTTGGCATATTTTCACTTTCGCTGCCAGTTTCTACAGTTTTTAACACTTTCATAGTTTTCCGCATATGTTGCTTCAATATTTTTGTGAATTAATGCATACTGAAAAAATGAATTTTAGTAACTTCCTTCAGTGATGTTTTAAACATTAGCTATAGCTTGCAATTCCTCTAAAGCTTCTGTTTTAAAGCAATATTTTTAGAACAGTTTTTAACTGATTTTAGGAGATTAACCTTCTCATTGGCTATATTATATATGGCAAAGATGTCAATCTATCTTTTTCAAAGAGCATTTTCTCAAAATACAATTCTGGTCACAATTTTCTTAACAGCTTTTCAGTAATGACATTTGAAAACTTTTATACAATAATATTCTGGTCTTAAAGGCTGAACGTTAGAAATTATATTTTCACTACATAAGCAACACTAATGCTTTTTAATAAAAGAGCAGAGGTGTGTGTGCTTCAGAATTATCTAATAAAATAATCTTTTCTTTTTTAAGTTCTCTGCCCCTTTTCAAAGAAAATCAATAAAAATGATAATTGTCAACCGTGAGTTCTCTTTCTTGTGGAAAATTAGTGGTAAATCGTGACTTCTTTCAGACATTGTGGTTTCCTTCATTTGTTAATAACCAGAACTGTCTTCTTAATTATTGGGTCCATATTGCATGTTAGTAACTCAATAACTCATTCCTTCAGATTTTTAACTAACTGTTGTTTCGCTTCCCAATACTAATATGTGCTTGGATAATGCTCTGTAAAGCAGTTCAGTTTTGTGTGTACTATGAATTTCATGTGACTTATACACATTTAACAGCCAAATAAAACATCTTTTATTCAGTTATCAGCTGCATAGTGCAGCCTCTTCCTTCTCATTAATCAGTTTCTGATGAACAATGGCCCACAAGCGGCCGAGCGGTAAAGTCGCTAAACACTGGTAGTTCGGTCCGAGGTTCGAATCCCGCAAACGGGCTGGCTGCATGGGCGTTTTCATGGTTTTCCACATGTGTAACTTGTATACGAGCCAGTTTCCCTTAGAAAATCCTCCACGAAGGCACCCCTCCCCTGAGGCAGATAGCCCTCGTGTGCTTTGCCGTAATTAAATACACCAAACACCTGATGAACAATGTTGGATTTCTGTTTCGCCCAAACTTGCGAACCATCTGTCAATTGATGCAAGATACTCTCCTATCATTTAGTGAATTATTCAAAAAATCTATAGAAATAGGTTTTTTTTTATTATTTTTATTTTTATTTATTTATTTATTTTAGTTTTATAGCTTCTAGAAGAGCCATTCTAGAAGAGCAGTTTCAACATTTCATGGTTTTGTGTCTTTTTTACACTTCCTTGAGACATTTTCATTTTCGATTAGTTCGTCATTAATTTTAATTTCTCGTTTTAGTAAATTGCACAGTAATGTAGGGGAAAACTCCAAGTTTAAATGCAGTTTATCTCTGTGTTTCTCTGTTCTCTAAGTGTAGTTTTTTCAAGAACATCAAAATCTTTTTACAGTTTATCCTTTTTGTTGAGACTTAAGTCTTTTCTGTAGGCATTTTCAATTAGTTACAAGTTATGTGCACAGCAACAACAACAATAAAAAATGCTTCTTTCAGTGATCGATTCAAATTTCAAAACTTATGCTTTTAGCCTACAGAAATATTGTCCTTGTCTGTTTAGTTGATCTGCCACTTCATGATTAAAAGCATGACCAATGCTTTCTTTGCTTTTTCTTCAGCCTACAATTATAATTTCCTTTCCATTAAAAGATTATTAATATATAGTAGTGCAGAGAAGCATTTCATGAGCATTTTTATCTCTGTGTTTTTGTCTCTAGATTTACAACTCTCTGTGAACGTAATGTATCTACTGCATAGGGAAATTTTAGAATGTGGAAACCTTTAAACATGAGATACGGAAGTTTCACTTGCATCTCCTCTCAGCTAGTATTTCAGAAGGAAATTTACTTATTTATAATACTTTCAATGAATTGGTCCTTGGTCCTTGAAAGAGGTTTCTTCTTCAATGCTACATGATTCATAAGAAATAATATATGCCTTTTCTTTCATAGTTGTTATTTTTTGGGGTAAGGTGTACACTTTCGCACTTTTTGTCGGTTATAAAGAGGATTTATCCGAGATTCTATCTATTATGAATTCAATTGATCCAGCCATCCAATTCACTCTTGAAATTGAATCCAACAATTCCCTCCCCTTCCTTGATATTCTTATAATCCGCAATGAAACTGATTTTAGCACCACTGTGTACCGTAAACCCTTTGCAGTTTGTTTACCACCCCATGCCACCCTGTTAAGCAAAAAATGGCTTCTTTTTACTATTATGTATTCCGCGCGCTTAAAGTTTGTTCCTCTGAATCTTTGCTTACCAATGAACTTAATTATTTGAGAGCAGTTGCGATTGACCATGGATTTTCTCCCGTGATCATTGATAAATCCGTTAAAAAATTTTCAGATTCCCATCAAAGAAGACATTCCACTGTTAGAAATAATATCAATGACCTTGTCGTGCTTCCATTTTATCCTTCTGTTAGCTATAAAATTGCACGGATTCTCCAGAAATTCAATTTTCAAGTCGGTTTCTCCCTATTAATAAAATTCTCCCTTCGATTCTAAAAGATTGCGTTTCCATCTTGAATTCTTGGGGAATTTATAGTATATCGTGTCAGTGTGGTTTAAGATATATTGGCCAAACAAAAAGAGCGTTGAAGTTTCGTATCAAGGAACATGAATCTTATGTCAGAAAAGGCGAAATTAACAAGTCTTCAATAGCATATCATAGTTGGACATTTAACCATAATTTTGACTTTGGGTCTGCAAAAATTATCCAAAAGGCTTCTTTCCATAGGTGAATCGGATTTTCTTGATGCTTTTCACATTCACAAAGATTTAGCAGGTTTAGTTAATGATTTGAAGTCCAATCCAGTCCTTCCTAATGCCTTTAAAATTCTACTATCTTAATTCAGGTATTTTTGCCGATAGATGGCGTTACCTCCTCGTGTTTGGTACTACTAGAGGGTATAAAAATCCGTTCAGTGGTTGCTTTCCATTATTTGAAGTTCAGATTTTGAGCGTGAAGGTGCATTTACCCTTCGCTTCCTATTTTTAACTTCGCAAATTTTTCTTGTCCTCCTTTATGCTTGATCAGATAGCCTGCCTCAGTAAAAGTAGGCGGCCAGTGCAACTCTGATTAAAACTCCAGTTATAACCACGTGCAGTGCTGATAAGGACCACGTGTTTCTGAGACTCCTTCCCCTTTATTTTCTTCTTTCCAGGTATTTCTTTCTCCTGATGAGGAGGGACCTTTAGCTGCTCTCGAAATCGATTGAGTGTTACAATATACTTACGCTAAATACAAGATTGTTTTTACGATTTTGATTATCACATTAGCGTGTTTCTCTTCTAGTCTAGTCTGAGGTGCTATGAAATCTCAGAAGTTTCTGTTATAATATTCATTCATCTTAATAGCAGAGGTCTTCTCTGGAATTCTGTAGAAATAAAAGTAATTCCATTCTTGTGTTCAGATTTACAACTGAACTCGTTTATGTAATTGCCAGTATGCTGACCTTACAAATGTACTGAGTGTATTGAAATCCTTGTATTTAGTTGTATATTTATATGAACTGTTTAATTAAGTTTTCACAGGTAATATTTCTATTGCATATAATGAAAATATTTATAATCTCTCATTCTTTGTAGCATCTTACTGTGGAAAAGTGATGATTTTGCTAATAGGCTAAAGGTGTTAAAAATAAAATATAGTATGTGCAGTGTCTTGTAATGTGCAAATAGTAGAATTGTGTGAACATTGGTATCAAATATGGATAATTTTTGTGGGGATGGAGAAAAATGGGCTAATTTTCCTATTTTTGAGTGCTTTTTTGTTTTATAGTTTGGAAGGATACCAAAGTCAAAAGCAGACTTTGGATCCAATATAATTACAAGGAATATTTATTGTCATATTTTCTTTTGTGTGTAATATTTAATAAATGTGGTGCATGTAAATATTTGCATAATTGAATAAGGACTGTGCTTAAAGTCTTGATTTTCAAATAAAAATTTCATCACCATTATAAAATTTATTTTTCAATTATTAGTAGTATATAAATTTTCCTGATGCGTTTTTGCTATGAGAATTTAACAATGCAGTTTTATTTTAGGTAATAAACTGACAGCTTTTCCAATGTCTGTATGTCTGCTTCTTAATCTTCAATCCTTGAATATTTGTGATAATCCAAAAATTAAAACTTTACCCAAAGAATTAGGCTGTTTAGAATTTCTCAAAAGCCTTTTGATTGATGCAGAATGTTTCTCTTATCCACCACAAGGTTTGTATCCTGCATATGACTTTAGAAAAATTTAAAAATTTTCATTTTCTTATTATTTAACATTAAACAGTTAAAAGGCAAGAATGCTTAAATTTTATTTTAATAAATAAGCAGTATCTGTTCTAATTTTTTATAGACATATGTGTGCGTGGAACAGAATGCATAATGAGGTTCTTATGCCAGGGTAAGCATATTCTAAGAAATATTTCTGATATTTTCTGTTACAGAACAACATTCTCCATGTATTTTTCTCTAAATGATACAAGCCCCAATTTAATATTTCCTGTGAAGGGCTGTACTTCTGTCACCAGCTAATTTTGACTGCAATAAAATTTTTCTAACCATAAAAAATATTTCTTAGTTTAGCTCGTTCAGTAAATGAAGAACAAGATAAAATAATTAATTTAAACTTTCCATTGTTGATTCTTACTTTGAAAACAAAAACAATATTTTAAATTTAACATCAGCTAGTAAGCAGTGTTGGCAGATACATATTTGCATAGGAAACTGTTTGGCAGTTGTCTTATAATGGAAAAATGATCCATGATTTTTATAAAATAATAAATAATTTCCAATATTTTCTTTTCAATAATGAGCACTTGGTCCCTTCCTGGTGCACACATATTTGTTTTTCTTTACTGCTTTGTCTTAATTCTCATATAAACTAATAATTTCATATCATTATGGGTTATTATTATAAAATTAATTAAAATGTTTAGCAATAAAATTTTATGTGAACATCTGCTTTTAGTATGGAAACTTCTTTAAAAAACATATGCTTAAAAATTAAGAAAAGTGTGTTAATAAAGCATTAATATATTTTTATGCAATTCCATAAACTGATAGATGATAACTGTGTATTTATAAAAAATATGAGTGTAAAATTGAATAGTTTTATATTTATGTTAAATATTCTTTCCCCCCTCCTCTCTTCTTATATATCTAAAGAAAAGGAATGTTACTGTTTTCAGAATTAGTATATTTTAGAGCTGTTATTTCATGTTAAAAAAATGCTTTATAAAGTTTCCTTCTGAATGTAATTTAATTGTGACTATGTGTAAGCTTTGCAGCATCAGCACAATTAATGAAAATGTAAGGAAAAAAAAAAAGTAAGAAAACTAAGGGGTAATTTTTTTTAAATTACTGTATTGGTTAAAAAGGCACTTTCTGATTATCCTTACCTACACAAAATGTTGCCAGCATCTTGGCAACTTCGTAAATTGGCACAAAATGTTTGCTTGGTTATCATTGGGGCTCAGAGATACTGTTCTGTTCATAAATAATAATAAAAAGAAACATTTTATTAGAAACAAAACGAAATGTATAAGGCCAGTATTTATGATGTTCTGTCAGTGGATGCTGTTTTGTTCAGCTTTGGCCTTCAAAATTTCTGTGAAACTGTCTTTTTCTTTTGTTTACTAAATCTTCCACCAAATAAATTCAGCAAAATAAATCAGGAGGTGATGTCATGCAGTTCCTGTCTGCTCGCCACTTGAACAAAACCCATAATCGTTCAAAATGCATTGTGTGTGGAGCTGATCTATAAATTCATACTTGTGACTTAAGGCCCATTTCCACTGCTGTGTATGCATTGCAATGTATATGCGTTTCCCCAATCAGCAATTGAATTCACTTTGATTGACATCTGCAATCCGGTCGGTATGCGGTGATGGCTGACAGACGGATGAAGTTCAGCTGTGTTCAACTTCTATCCATATGTCTGCAGATGTGTTGGGGTCACGTCTTAAAAAAGGAGCAATCAGGTATTGTCATCAAAAATTAATGGCGGCAGAAGTAGCTATGAACGCTAGCTTAGAAAATGAATGTTTTGCTAAAAAATACTTATTTCTGAATTAACATTATAGCGAGAAATCTGTGTACTGGAAAAGAAAGTAATCAGCTGAATTTAGTTAGAAAAAGATAAGAAAAATAAGATAACTGCAACTACAGTACTAGTTCGCAGAGAAAATCAGGTGTTCGAGAGTTTCAGTTCAAGAAAACCGGTCTCGAAAAATATAATTTCAAGTCCATGAAATAGCAAAATTTGTCCTGACTATTATTTCCTAGTTCTGCATACACATTTACCTTTAATGAAACTGAACGTCTGACTATATCAACCTGCTGTAGCAAATCAGATATGGCATTAAAAGAGTTGTTATTTTTTCTTTTGAAACAAGTAAAAATTAAAAACGTTAATTATAAATTAAATTTGATATCCTTTTAAATATTCCAATGCATTAAAGAGTATTTCTCTATTTATAAATACAGTCAAAAGTCTTTAATCCAGACTCGTCGGGACTTCGGCGATTCCGGATTATAGATCATCAGTTTAAATCTGGTAAGATGGCATGTGGAAATTAGAAAATTAAAAATATGAAACCATAATTTATGAAATAAAGAGCAATTATGATCTAAAGGGTATCAAATTTACAAAAAAAAAGAAAGCTTAATATTTATTTGTTTACTTTATTAAACATTTCTTTCAACGCGTGCATGCGTAAAGCATACTGTTGAAAAATATAGCTTATTTTTAAACCTTTTACTGCATCATCTCTCCTCCTTGAAATGTTTATTTAGTTTAGTCCTTATTTTAATGTAATATAGTAGTTACTTCTACTTCTTTTTCTTGCTGCCACTGTTTGCATTGAGAACGGACTGTTTCAACCTAATTGAGATGCAAAAACGAAACATGTTTACGTCATCTGAAAAGCCGATTCGTGCCGATAGCTGATTGGTTGCCGTGAGATGACGTCATTCCTACTTCTGCTATAAGTATCTTGCGTCGCTTTCAAGTGCTTTCAAGAACTTCATTTAAATTTTCAGGCGTTTTTCTTGACCATTGATTATGGACTTATTAAATGTGTAGCCAGCTTCAATTCTAGGCCGCATAATTACTGTTTAGGACTTTTTGTTTGTATAGAATGCCAGTGTTTTGGAGACCAGGTAAAAATATTTGATGAATGATGGTTATATTATATTTTTCCTAAGACTCTAATATTGTTGACATTTATTTTCTGTGTTTTTATTCTTTATTATATTGTTAATAAATTGGTTAAATTCAAAAATCTTTTATTGTCTTCAATGTCTGCACAACATATCTCAGGGAGCTTTTATTGCTACTACTGCTAAATGTTTAATTTCTTTAAACTTTAAACTTTGCTTTAGCATCACATACATTACACATAGTCGAAATTAGAAAATTGCAAACCAGAAAACTATTTGATGTGTATTCCTGATATTTATAATGACGAGGAATTTGATTTAAATCACATCAAAGATGGAGTACATCCAGATGAAATACTAAATTTAGTAAGAAATTATAAGTGGAATAAAATAAGAACATCTGCCCTGAAGATAAGAATAGTGTTGACAGATCAACTTCCAGTTCATAGCGCGCTGCAACGTCCCCCCTTCCGCAGAGTAGCGTGAAATTGATAAACAGATTTCGAAATGGTTAGAGAAACAAAGGATATGCCTTTATCCATTTTTTGCAGCAATTCGACTTTTTGTTTAATGGACATTGAAACATACTTTCACTTTGTAGATCCTTTGGCAGCTCCAGCATCAGAAATTCTATTTGACATAATCGAAAGTTCAAGCTTACTTTTATAAAATTGCTCTAACAGTCTGCGAAAAATAATAAGCCGGATCCGATTCGAAGATTAAGGACATAATCTTTTATGCATGCGCACACGCATATGCGCATGCGTAAAAGTATTATGTGCATGCGTAAATGCCTATGTGCATGCGTAAATGCCTATGCGCATGCATGAACGCATTATGCATTGACGCATGCGCAGAAAGTTTGTAGCAGAAAGTTTGACGCATGCGCAGAAAGTAGGTCCAGATTATAGATCATTCCGGATTATGGGTGTCCGGATTAACGACTTTTGACTGTATACCTTTTTGGCTAACATATATTTGTAAGCGCATGGAATATATTTTTAGCACCCTGTTAACTTTAATCGGAACGCCACTTTAAAAGGTAATGTTTTTTGTAAGAAATGTCCTAGAAGCTGAAGAACAAAATCTGCTGAATTTTTTAGACGATAGCACATTGAAAAAGGACAAAAAATTTAGTTTTAAGAATTCATTTACTTGCTGATGTATATACGCTAAAATTGCGTACCATGCACATATGTTGATAGCTTAGTGGTTAAGTTGATGGTAACATGGTTTAACTTTTGGGGTAGTGTGTTCGAATCCTATGAATGTTCGAATCGAATGATCTATATTAGTGTTTTATAATTTATTTCTATTATTATATGCATTAAATATTATGTTTTATTTATGCTCTTATTTATTTAAATTTCCCCCACAAAAAATTTATTTTGAAAATGATATAATATGAATTTAAAGCATGCTCATTGTGCTGCGCATATATATAATAGTGTAATTACTCAATTGTATATATTGTAAAAAGCTAATTGTCTTCAGACATATACTGTTACTATACTGTTACTAAAAAAATGGGCCTATTTCCTGCCTTTAGACTGTCTACTAGCTCTTGGATAGCGAAAATGCCTTTTTCCTTTCTTAAATTCTTAATCATTGCGACACGACAATTAGCCAGAAATTAATTAATTTCCATTCACTAGTATTTTTAAAAAAATCTTAACAGACGGTCTCTCTCAGATAAGAACTCCACAAAATACATCCCTCAAGAATTCCAAGTCCCACCCACTACCCATAAATTTCTTCACCCAAGTCTTGCCGACTGATATAATTCAAAGCCCCTACTGCCGCTAAGAATTTTCGGACACCCTACACTTCTGAGTCAGACACGAAGAGAACACACTGCCAACTCCCCCACTAGAAAGAATGTAAGTTACTTAATACCTTTCTGGCCTTTATATCTTCATGTACATTCACTGATCTTATTTATATTATTTTATTTATATTATTTCTATTTTATTTTTATATTATTTTATGTTCTCTTTGATTTGTTTTTGCAAAGTTTGCATTATTTATCTTTTTTATAATCTTCTATGTTTATTTCAACTTTACTTTGATTTCGATTTCATAATGACAATTTCCAATGTTTAATTTCTACAAAATAATATAGTACTCAAATACATAAAGATGATAGTGTCGGGGACGATTACTCGAGTTTTACAAGATTTCTCTACAGTAATTGATTTTTACTCCAAATTGAATTGACTAAAATGCTTCATGAGAATCAGT